TTGTGTTTTCTGACTTGTTATAATGTTTTCTGTATTGTTGTTGTGCTTTCTGAATTGTTATTTTGTTTTTTAGACTTGCATTTGCGTTTGTAATTTGTTATTTTGTTTTCTGAATTGTGATTTGCTTTGCACTTCTCGGCCACCGTATCATCATCATCACAAGTTCAAGTATCACACGGCAGTCTGCGTAGGTTTAACAGTAAGACCTGGCAGAGTGAATTCAGACAGCGAATCGAGCGCGTCTCCTCCCACCACCAGAGGGAGCTGCAGGGACACGGAGCCGCCGGAGGGACAGATGGAGTCCAACGCGTCCAGATCGCCACTGGAGCAGTCCGAGCTCAGCTTCGGTTTAGTGAAGGAGTCAAGAGAGTTCAACTGACTCCCGACGGACGAGAAGAAGGCAGGAGGAAGACGAGGAGACGAGAAACACAGCAGAGCGCTGGGAACGACTCCGCTCTGAGCGCCAAACAGGACAGAGTTAACTCATCACCATAATGTACAACAACTACAGTGTTTCCCATACAATGATTTATTTGCGGCGGCCGCCACAATATCAAAACTGACCGCCACAAGCAGATTTTCCAAAAGGCTTTGACTTCGTTGAATAAACATGAGCACTAGGGCTGTCAAAATGACTGAAAAACTACATTCGAATTTTCATCTTAAAGGTGCAATAGGTGATTGTCTTCAGAAACATTTTTTGTTATGCTGGTTGAAAGTCTCTTCACATCCCGATAGCAATCATTAAGTTAAGTGGTCTAAATGTATTTATCTGTATTTATATATTCTGTGGAAGGCATGGGACCAAGAAATGGTCGTCCAATCAAAATGCTCGGTCCGAGCGTTTTAATATGCTTTCCTACCTGCCTGTCAACGTATGTATTAGCATACCTCTGCGCACCCAGTTCGCGCAGACAGGATACGTCATCAGAGCGTTCATGCACGCTGTGCAGACAGAGCGAGGATGGCAGGCAAACATCAACAACCCGATCTTCCTTCCTGGTATTGTAGTAATTTTAAAGATTTCTCACTGGTGAATGACACATG